CAGAAAATTTTGATCTGATCACGCAGGGGTTTTGTTTTTCAACTTGCTTACATATTCCGGGGTTGTCCCATTCATCCACCACCTCTGTTTGTTCATTTTCTAGTTTTGGAATTTCAATTAAGTCATTATATCAAAATATGTACTTATTGGTTGGAAATTGGTTGATTTGTTTGTCAGTCTCCACTTGCCTATGCCTTCTTCAAAGTTCAATATTCCAGTCTGATATGATTTTATAACATGATTTGGTTCACCCATCACTCTAGTCAAACCGTCTGCATGGATCCTGAAGGCATCACTCTCCACTGAATAGACCTTAATATCATTTTCTGAAAAAATGATTACGCTGCATTCGTTGAAAAGTTATGATATTGAAGAAGCAGCTCTTTTATATCTCTAGGCCCATTGAAAAATTCAGATTGGTTGTGTTTAAGATGCAATAGGTACTGTGTGTTTGTTTCTTCTTCTTTTTCCTATTTCTTGCTGTATGGCGCAAACCCTTCCTCCAAACTCCCTCTGGTAATGGCAAGCCTCCCTCAAAGTGTGAAACTGTAACTTCTGTGCGGTGTTGTGATGTTTCCTATTTTCTTTTTGTCATCTTGAGTAAGATCGGTTTCCCATAGTTCATTAACAATCTGGTCATAATTGACCTAATGAATGAATGAATGAATGATTGAAGGAGTTTTGTAACAAAATATTTTTCGTTGTTTGCTTCCAATAGTTTTCTTAAACACTTTCCATATATTAAGCTATACTTCTTATTGAACAACATGTGATGCCTTCACTTCCACCGTATACAATGTAAAACTAGATATTTGGCTAATGTCAATGTCATCCCTGTAATGTTCCAATTATCAAACTCATAAAAGCCGGTATGAATTTAGTCTGTGTAAATGCCCATGTAAAGGCTTTAGCCCTGTCAATCTCTATCAGTTTTGTTGTATCAGTGTTTTACTCAAAAAATAAACTGATGGGACTATAGTCCTACAATGTTTTTATCAAAATAACCTGATGGGACTATAGTCGTGTCATACTTTGATATATTTGTGTCATGTCTTATTGCGTGATGACCTTTGAGATGCTGACTGCATGTTGGTTCCAGGAAAGTACGCGTACAAACGCTTTGTACGCGTACATTGCTCAAAACAACAAAACAAAGAAACAAGATTGAGCACAACCCTTGTCAGGAATCTTGGCTTGATGCAGCCAATGCACATTACACAAGTTGGATGACCTGGGTCTCAAAAAAG